TCACATCCATTATATTAGTGAAAATAAAAAGACTCCTATAGTAGGGCTGGAGGAAAGAGCACAAGATTTTGTATGCTAGGGTATTTGTTTTGCAGCATTATTTATAGTGATGAAAAATTGAAGGTGGTTTAAGTATTGGACAGTATAAAAATTAGTTGCCATAATCCATATTCTGAAATGCTATATAGTCATTAAGATTAATAAGTAATGTCTAAATATATTAACATGGAAGAATGGGTTAGATATAATGTTGAGTGTGAAAAAAAATCCCAAAATGTGTAATTATATACAATAGGGATGGTAAGCTTAATTAATAGATGTATGATGATATTGCTATATTACTGTTACAGGATCAATAGAAAAATAGCATTTTAATCTAAAGAAAAAATCTAGAATGAAACAGCAAAGATAAATTGTTAGTGCACCATATAAATTTAAAGGAAGAAAGCATTTTTATGTCAGTGTGTTGAGTTAAAATTGAAAATATTAATAAATTTATTTCAGTAATAAGATTAATTATACCTGTCTGGAACACCTAGGTAGTTCATTTGCTTAAGCATCGACCTTTGACTCAGGCCATGATCTTGGGGTCTAGAGATCAAACTCCATGTTGGGTTCTTTGCTCAGTGGAGACTCTGCTTCTTCTCTCTCTGCCCCTCCCCTCCCCCCTCGTTCTCATTCTCTCTCTCCCTCTCGCTTTCTCAAATAAATAAATAAAATCTTTTTTAAAAAAGATTGATTATACATATCTATGAGAGCCTTTCCATATAGATCAAAATACTAAAGTAATGATGCTGTGTTTTTGTTTTCATTCTGAGGACCATCTCTTGCAGATAATTTTTATTTATAGTTTATTATACTGTCCTCTTCTTCCCCCTTTACTTTAGATATAGTTCATGGTTATAGAAGTGGGTTACCTGTTACTTGCAGAAATGTCACTCACTATTAATATCACTTTGCAGCACAGAAATTTTTTAGCATAATTAGAGGCAACCAGCCTGCTTAAATAGAGTTGGTTAATTAAGTTATAAAATTCTAAGGGAATATGATGAACTAAAGTAGACATGTGTAGTTAAAGCTTTCTGTTCTGCTTTTTTATCAAATGTTTCTGGCACCTGGTTTTCTCAACTGCCCTTCTGTTGAATATGGTTTTCAAATTGATGTGAGGAAGAGTCAGTGGTGCTTTCTGGACAAGAAAGCTCTTCATTTGTAGAGTAATGCTATGTCAACACACATTTTCCAAAATAACAGTCCTACTATCCTCAGTGTCTTGGAAAGAGTTACCTGATACCCAGAGAGTGGAGTAAAACTATCCTAGAGCCCTGGTCCGGCACCAAGCAAGAAGGTTTATGAAAGAAGATAGCCCAGAGAGCTGGAGCCCTGCTCTGCTGTGTCGACATGTCTAGAGCTCAGAATAAAATTGAGTTTCCTGCTTTAGCCATAGCTGGGTCTTAAAATAACCTGAAGAAATTATAGTTCTGATTACATAGAAAGTGAAGGACTTAGAACATTCTCCTAATAAAGCCATGAGAATGACACAGAGCTTAGTCATCAGCAGTCCTTCCCTAACAGGCATTTTAGAGAGAAAAATAGAGCTTTGAAATTGGATAATTTGATTTGAAATCCTGCCTAATTATTTTAAGAATGCAGAAAACCTTTCTTTTTGGCCAAAAAAATAATGATCTGGAATCCAATTATGAAAGAACAGGCTTTTAAAATGTTTGATATCTCCAGTAATGGAAAAAAAAATCCTGTATTTAAAATTACATTCTGCTGGAAATCTCATTCTTGGATGTCTTGCTTTTTGCATTTTGAATGGAGGAATTTAATGTAATTTCCTTTTGGAAACATGGCATTGGAAAAATTAGATGGGATGTTTGATTCTGTGTTGGATGCTATCTACTAGGGTACAGATTTTGAGAGCAAACACTTCAAGTTTCATTTTAATTCCCAAAGGGAGATATCTGACTTAACCAGATGCCTTGAGATTTGTCACAACATAGATTGTTTACATGGATTCAGTGCCCAGTTATGCATCTATTTGATTAGCACACCCTGAATAAAATAAGAAAAGTGGATAAAAGCTTAATAATTCCAATTTTAAGATTATTACTATTACTATTCATGGTTAATATGCTATTCCAAAAGACATGTATTGCCACACTGTTTCACCATGTTTTTTCTTATTGTATGGCTTTCTCAGAATATTGATTCACACAGTATTTGCATTGGTGCCATATAAAGAACATGACTGATCATAAACAATGGTCCAGAATTTCCAATTTTTAGAAAAAGAATAATAAAACCAGTTAAAGGGAATCTATATTAAGATACTTACTTTTTTACTTAAAAATTAAAAGATAGACATTCAATTAACAAAACTTTTTTGCTAGATATCCTCAGATGGTTCCAGTTATTTTTACTACAAGGTTAGCTGGACTTTCACAGAATTTGTCTATTTTACATAGGATTTAGATTTAACTAAGTCTTAGAAAAGTGCCTTGAAACAGAAGGTTGAATAAACATTTGTCGAAGGAAAAATGAGTTATTGAAATATTATGTCTTTTATTATCACTCTTGTAAAATGGTGGTGAGACAACTTAGTAGAAGTGACTAACAACCACGTATATACGAACACAGGATGTAAGTCTCCAAGGTAATCAAGACCATCAGGAGGATGTTAGACCAAAATTAACACTGAGAGAAATGTGTTATGCATATATTACAGCCCACGTGTGGAAATCTGTTCATTTATAGAGAGATTGCCTCTCTGTGAATGGCTAAGTTGGCTCTTCCAAGCACAAAAAAACTCTTCGGGCCATTCAGAAGTAAGAGCCACACACTGAAAGATTTTAAACCATGAAGTGTCTGATTAGTAGATACGTCTTTAGATATAGGGATAGAAATTCTATCAGAGACATATGGATGTGGAAGACTCTGGGAGTGAGGCTACAGGCTGAAAAACTCTGAGGAGCCAGAACCTTCTAACAGTGTACTCAGAGCACACTCCCAGCTCTCTACCCACATTTCCATTTCTTCTCTTGATACTAAGGCTTGATCATTTATTCCTAGTCAAATTCTTCCCAGACCTACAACTAGACAGGATATAGTATCTTAGCTTTCACTCAGAAGTTTATTTGCTAATACGAAAACAAGAAATAGGCAGGTTACAAAGAAGCAAACATACAAAATGGCTCTTATTTCTTGCCCCATTTATTTAGACCTTCTAGGTGGTACAACTGAAATGAGATCAAAGATGTGTCTTAAAAAGTAATAATAATCTGTGAGTATCAAGTGCCATGAACTTTCAGTGGATGATATTTCATTTGTTCCTATCCAGAACCTTCTTTGTAGGTGGTGGGAAAAAAATGAGGAGACTGAAAATCTTTGGAAAAAAAGGAGTGCCTCAGTGGCTCAGTCAGTTAAGGGTCTGCCTTCAGCTCAGGTCATGATCCTGGGATGGAGCCCTACATTGGGCTCCTTGCTCAGCGGGGAGTCTGCTTCTCCCTCTGCCCCTCCTCCTTACTCATGTTCTCTCTCACTCTCTTGAATAAATAAATAAAATCCTTAAAAAAAAAAAAAAAGAAATACAACTTTGGTTGCAAATGGAACACTCCTTAAAATGGGTTGTGTGCCTATTGTACAGCCTGTTAACTCTTAACTTACAGTTGTAGGTGCCTGGGCAGAAATAGTGAGAATAATGAGAAGGAGCTGGAAAGACCACAAATAGAGAAATCAGGAATTAATGCAAAAATCTAGAGCACCTAGAATGACTAGGAAAAAAATCTAGAATGACTCTTTTTTTCTAGTATTTATGACTGAGTACATGTGACATTACTCTTCGTTCATTTGACAAGTATTTTTTGAGTGCCTCTTATGTACCAGACATTGTGTAGGTGCCTAAGATCAATGAGGGAAGAAAACAAAGCATCTTGTACAATTGCCCTCATGGAACCTGAAATCTGTGTGTGTGTGTGTATGTGTGTATGTGTTTTCTTCCCATTGCTTGTCTTGCTACCCATCTGGACTGACAGATGTATAGTAGAGCCTGGTGGGGAACATTGATCAATTTTTACTGAATGAGGGAAGGAAGGATGAGAGTAGAAAAACCTTAAGCAGTGAAAGCATAAACGCAAAAGGTGTCCTGTGGAAACTTCAGCATCTGGCTGGGTTGGCTATTCTCAAGGTAATCAAGTATGAGAGATATGAGGAAATTGGGCCTTGGCAGACACACACAACACACATACATCTACATGTATACATATATTTACATATATAGTGAATATGAGAAGGATAATCTACATGTAATTAACTGTTGTATTTCTTTCAGAACTGAAAGTTAACCATTTTTTATACTTGAAGAAAACCCTAAGTTTTGCAGGGATTTTAAACTCAGAGTTACTAGTCAGTTGTAGATTTCAGATGTAGACTATTGCCTTTTCTTATTTAAGGGAACTGAAATTGGCCTCAGGCATCTATCTACTTTGTGATGAGGCCTGCTATCAGAGCTGTGGTTGGGAGGGGCTTACACTCTATTCTTAATGGTTAGTCTAAATTAGGGCAAGGACACAACTTGTACAAAGGCTCGATTCAGGATAGCAGTATGTTATTTGTTGTGGATTTAAGATATTTATGTCTAAAGCTAATGGCATAAAATTTTAAAAGGCAGTAATACATGTGAAAATAAAGTTTAAGCTTAGGGGAAGAAGAAGATTAAGAGAGTATATATATATATATATATATATATATATATATGGGCTTTTGTATAATTTTATATATATATAAAATATATATATATATATATATATATATATATATATATATATAGTTTCTTTTCTGGGTCTCTTCAGAGATTAAAAGAGATAGAGATTTGGAGAGTGAATAGGAGTGAGTAGATATGAATTAAAACATTGCTTACTGGATTATTACCACCTCAACACCTGGTTCAAAATATACATGGAGGGTGTCGCAGTGTCCTGAGCCAGGGGTCTTGTGTTGAGATGCTTCAAAATCTTATTAAAAATGTTTGGGTCCCCATGAATCCCTACTATACCCAAGCTTACCAGGAGACTTTGTTAGGAATGGGGTTGATGAGTGTCATCATTTATAAAATCAGGAGTGCTGATAAAAGAAGTAAAGCTTTGAAAGCCTCAAGCCCTGCTCCTGCTCATGGCCATCATTAATCAGCTCCGAGAACACATCAGATGGAACGTCAGTCTGGCTGTAAATCTCCACACGCTCTGTTAGCCGGGAACATGGAGCCCCGACGTACACTTGTAGACGTGTTGTGTCTGCTGTGGCGTGAATAAATGCAGCTGTGAGGTGCACAAAAAAAAGTATATGTGTGTGTGTGTGTGTGTGTGTGTGTGTGTGTGTGTGTGTGTGTATACACACATGACACACGGAGAGTTTGCCTAAAAGATTTTGGGTAGGAGGTATTTGTAATAAAATTTAGTGATTTAAATATTATATGAAATAAAGATAGAAAAGTATGTATACAGAAGGAAAGTTGCCTTTCTAAATATAATGTAATACACCATCAAGAAATCTTGGGAGACTCCAAAATCATCTTAAGATTTAATAATAGTGACATATTTAAGTTTTTAGTATGTCTTTCATTATGAACTAGAGAAAACTAAGAAACTAGCCTGAATCAGTGAAGCCTCCTAGGTTTGCATGTTATAAGGGCATGTTTGCCCTTTTTCAATTGTTTTTATAGGACAAAAACTACTAATTATTTGATAAATTTAATTTCAGAGCAAATGTGTTGACACATGTAATGGCTTGGACAAGAATCAGATATAATACTATATATCAAATAATACTGGGAATTTAAAACTGATAAATGTCATCAGGGTAGACTTTTATTATTTTATATACTTTTAAAAAGATTTTATTTATTTATTTGGCACAGAGAGAGAGAAAGCACAAGGAGGGAGAGAGTCAGGCAAAGGGAGAGGGAGAGGCAGGCTCCCTGTGCGGCAGGGAGCCTGATGCAGGACTACATCACAGGACCACAGGATCATGACTTGAGTCAAAGACAGACACTGAACTGACTGAGCCACCCAGGCACCCCTCGGGTAGGTATTTTAAAATGATAGAAATACCAAAGTCTTCAATTCTTTTTCTTTTGAAATTTCTTAATCACTTTGGTAATCACAGAAGATAAGTCTTTAAAATAGCCAAATTTGAGTGTTTATAAAGTAATTCTAAGGCAGCCCCAGTGGCCCTGCGGTTAAGCACCACCTTCAGTCCAGGGCGTGATCCTGGAGACCCGGGATCGAGTCCCACGTCGGGCTCCCTGCATGGAGCCTGCTTCTCCCTCTGCCTGTGTCTCTGCCTCTCTCTCTCTCTGTGCCTCTCGTGAATAAATAAATAAAAATCTTAAAAAAAATAAGTCTAATTCTCTCCAAAAAACTGTAATCCTATAAGTCATCTGCAGTCTTTAGTAAACTAATCCATATGGGTATTAAATAATGTTCATTATAAACCATCCTGCTCAATTTATGTTTTTGTGAACACTGAATTGTTTTACCTTTTTTAAGCTACTGTTTTATATATTCTTACCTTCCCTTTTTTCATGTATAATGTAGGGTATCATTTACAATTAGAAATGCTCCTGAAGTAATTTATATATATATATATATATATATATATATATATATATATAAATAAATTGCATGATGAAAATAGGATTTCTCTTTGAATATTGGACTGCCATTTCTTGTAAACTAAGTCTGGCCTTGGAGAGTGGAGTAGGATGCCCCACGGTCTATTTTCTGGAGTTTGGATTCTTTGGCCTTGCTCCCATCCCACTTTGAGAACATACAGTTCCTGAACTGTTTTCCTACAAGTATCGTTTACTTTACGCATATGATTCCTAGTTCACCTGACTGTAGTTGCTAACTGCCAGGGCTGCCTCTCTAGCAGTCCATATTTCTTTGTTATCTAAGACATAATGTCCTGTAGTTTCTCTGTTTTGTGTCTTTACATGTCACCCAGCAAATGTTCTGTACTAGATGAAGTTCACTCATGGTTTTAGTTATTATTTGAGGGGTGCACAAAGAATCACTTCCCTCAGGAAACCTGCAACCTTCATGGGAAAAGTTTGCAAAGTATATAATGGATTATTATATGAATTTCTTTTTTTATTATATGAATTTCTTGATGTATGATACTTTGTTGAAATTAAATAGCATTATTTTTAAGTTACTGTTTGAGAATTCTTGTATCCTGAATCATCTTTCTCCTAGAGTGATGCAGAAGCCCTCCCACTGACCACTCCCACACCGAAAGGAACACGCTGTGAACACTGCAAATAAACTATTAGAACTCAATGGCCACCCCATATAAAGGTGCTCAAATATTTTAAAAGATGGTGTTTTATGAGCAGTGGAAAATTTGTCACAGACATTTCAACTGACACTATCTTTATTACTACTCTACATCTACATCTGAAGACTCAGACTCTAGTAGTTGTAATACAATAGATGTAAAAGGTAGAAAAAGCCAATTCTTGTCAATGTGTCACCAAACATATTATCAAAGTTAATCTCATAAGGGCATCAGAGAAATTAAAGTTGCCTCTGGGCTCCATGTTATAAGAACTCCCTGAAATCCCAGACTACCTCAGTAGCTGACTGCATACAGCAGCAGGAAGCCTTCAATTAACTGCATCAGTTCTATTTGTAGTACAAAAGATCTGTGACTTAGGATAGCCTACATAACTTAAAAAGGAAAAAAAAAAACTCAACTCGATCTTAACAGTATCCTGAAGTACAGCCTGAGAGAAAGGGATACATGGGGTCAGTCAAGAGCATGTAGGATAGTAACTAATTCAAAGGCAAAGGGGTCTTAGGTGGAGCTTTAAAAAATCTGTCTAGTCAATAAGAAATTTGGTGAAAATGTCTTTGAATGAAAGGTAAGCCAGAATGTAGAGCAACATTCTCCATTTTAGAGATGTAACAATAAAAGTCAGCAATCTGAGATGATTTAGTAGAGAAAAAGATGAACTTTCAGAAGAATGGTGGGTTAAAGAATTCTTGGGGTTATACATAGAAATTCACATGGATGAAAGAACATTTCCATGTGATTTTCGTCTGGCCGTTTCTAGAACCACAGCAAAGAAAAAGATAGAGGAACTTTAAGAGAGAGGGGCCAGGGGGTGGTAGTGGTTCTGAAATGTTCTTTTACTCTTTGAAAATTTTATTTTACCTTTTACTAATTTTTGAGAAAAAAAATTGGAGAGTGAAACTTGCAGGGCTTTTGCATAAATTTAAAGCTGAATGATGTACATTTTGCCATCGTTCCTCTTCCCATTTCACCTCCTCCTTCTTCAGCTTTATGGATGTATGTCTAATTAAGTAAATCCATGGTGTTGAAAAAGAATTTTGAAGCACTGAGAAAATTGTTGGGAATCTCTGGGTAATGTCACAAAATTAGATTTAAAAGTTACTGAAAGAAATATTGTGGTTCAATAAGGAAGTTGTCAGGTTTGTGATAATACTGAAAAAATATCTGTATTGGTTTTCTCTAAATTAGGCTCACAATACAAAAGTCATTCTGAGAGTTTTAATTAGGATAAAAAGCCTGATATATTTTGCAAAAAAAACAGTAATTAGTTTTGGTATATTATTTTTATGTAAAATGTTCAAATGAAAATAAAAATCTTTAAATAATATTAAAATGAGAAGATATGACTTTCCTATTTAATATATTCATGTGGAATTTAAATGATGAGAAATGTTAATACGATTTTACTTTTTGAGTTCTGAACTTACTGGAATGTTTATCCTGTTTGTCTCTATATAGAAGATAAAAACATTTTTTTTGAAGATAAAAACCAATTTTAATTTAAAAAGCTATTCTATGGGCACTTGAGTGGCTCAGTGGTTGAGTGTCTGCCTTTGGCTCAGGTTGTGATCCTTGGGCCCTGGGATCGAGTCCCAATCAGGCTCCCTGCAGGCAGCCTGCTTATCCCTCTGCCTCTCTCATGAATAAATAAATAAAATCTTTTTTTAAAATAAAAGCTATTCTACTATTTTATGGAAACTGTCCTTCATACAGAATATAGGTTCCATGAGTTGTTTTCTAAAAAAATTTAAGTCAAAATTATTTTTCAGAAAGCTAGTATATTTTTGGAGCTAAAATACTGAATACTAGTGTAGTGTATTAGAAGTATAGTGTAGCATGTTAGCGTAGCGGCTTATATATAAGTGCAAACAAAAAGATTATTAAGGTAAACCAATATATTTATAAGCCTAATGAAGGAAGTGTAATAAATTCTTTTTTTGCATCTTCAGACTGAATGGACTTTCTGGTCCTTTACTCAGAATTCTGAGCTATGTTCAATAAGACTAATGCTTATTCTTTTTTGTCCCTTTACTGACTGTTCAGTAGTCTCTCATAGAGCATTGAAGCTGACTTAAACTCGTAATTATATACGAGGAGCATTCTTTTGGGTTTTGTTCTAGGAGATCACTTCTAAAAGTGGTACAGTGCTTCCAATTTGTAAATAATTTTCAGTAACAATATTAATAACATTGCATTTTATGGTAGTGGTAGATACACAAGAAGATAGGAATCCGTGGGAATGGGGACTTGGTATGGAATGTAGCTTATCCTCTATCAGAGTACAAAGCATTAGGGCAGCCCCCGTGGCTCAGCAGTTTGGTGCCCCTTCAGCCCAGGGCCTGATCCTGGAGACCCCGGATCGAGTCCCATGTCGGGCTCCCTGCATGGAGCCTGCTTCTCCCTCTGCCTGTGTCTCTGTCTCTCTCTGTGTGTGTCTCTCGTGAATAAATAGATAAAATCTTGGAAAAAAAAAAAAGAGTACAAAGCATTAGAAGGTAATCATTCCCCGACTCCATTGCTCATCCCTTCAGCTTCAACAATTTCCTACCCAGTCTAGAGCATATATATTTGGAATGATATACATTGCCAAAGGAAACACAGAAGTAAAAAACCTAAGGTGAAATAGCGATTTCAGTTATCGGAGTTTTTCTAGGGTTTACTTGCATTTCATTTCTACTTTCGTGCTTGCTGTCTTTGTCCTTCTGTGAAACGTTCGTCTGGGTGTAAAGCCTTTTTTCCTTATGCAACTCAATAAAAGAGGGCTTCAAAGAGCTAAACAAATTCACAAATGAGTGGAAATTTCCTATATCCAAGAAGAAAGTGGAGACTA